TTTTGTTAGATGATGACGACGACAGTGGCGATAACTGCAGTGGTCGTGGTGGTTCAAATGCCTCCGCCTTGAGTTACAAAGAGCGACGACGGGAGGCACACACACAAGCTGAACAAAAGCGTCGCGATGCCATCAAGAAGGGTTATGATAGTTTGCAAGAGCTAGTACCCACCTGTCAGCAGCATGATTCCGCGTCGGGTTACAAACTGAGTAAAGCGTTGATTTTGCAAAAATCCATCGACTATATCGGCTATTTGAATCAGCAAAAAAAGAAACAAGAAGAAGATAGTGCTGCCCTGCAAAAAGAAGTGACAGCACTGAGAATTATACAAAATAGTTATGAGCACATGTTACAACATCAACAGGCGAATCCCGGGCCAGAGGAAGCACGTCTCACAGATGAGGCTAAATTTCAGGTGGTAAGTAAAATCTCAGTCGTTTCATATTTGAAATATTTAACCTAATGTGTTCTTTTACCCCTTTAGTTTCAAGCTGTAATGGATGAAATGTTCGAAACGTTCCAACACATACCAATGGATAATTTCAAACAATTAACAACGGGTGTTATTCCATGGCTCGAAGAGCACTGTAAACCCCATATACTACGTAATATATTAAGTAGAACGTTACAGGAATTGTCGATGCAACAACAACAACAGCAGCAACAGCGTATGAGTGTCGATCAACAAGACAATGATGGTTTCAGTTGATAGCTATTACGTAATTGCAATTATTACACATTTTTGTTGGGATCTTCTTCTTCGTTTTTTACATTTATCTACATAGTCGTAAATTGTCGACGACGACATCTTCAAATAATTTTCATAGGGTTTAAGAGGAAAACATACTATTGTTTTATTTAGTTAAATTTTTTATTTTTGTCTTTAATAGTATAAGCATGTATGTATGTATTTTACAACAATAACACTGAGAAAAAATAATGAAGGAAAAACATAAAGAAATTTGTGATAAAATTACACTAAACCATTGTTTTTGTGCTTTTTTTTTTTTTTGACTACAACTTGGAGAGATAAGATTTCTTTTGGGCATTGTTGTTTATGGTATGATTAAATGATATACTGTTAATTTTAAGTCCATGAAATGAAGTTTTTGGAATCGCTCATGGCTCTTTGGGCTAGGTTCTCGTTCATGAAATAAATTGAAATGAAATAGCGAATTATTATTATAATTTAATATTATATTTGCTCAGAAATTCGAAAACATGTGTTTTTACTAAACTAGCTTTATTATATTGAGGCTACCAACGAATATGATTTGTTGTTAATGAGACACAATCTTTGCGAATATGGTGTTTATTTTTGTTTGTGCCTATATTGTACATTTTGCTACTTTGGTCCGACAAAATGATAAGATATAGATGGCATGTTGCCTATGCCTTAGGGGATTTTTAAAGCAGTCTTTTTTAACATGCTCAAGTCGTTATCTGTAATTTACACTGGTCATATTGTAATTATCACAAAAGGGATTATAAAAATCATTATTAAATTTTTTATATAAAATGGAAAGGGATAAACATAAACCGTGCTAAACATATGGCAAATTAAATTAGTCTTGGAAACAGGTATATAATTTATGTGTACAAATATGATTGTTATTTATTTTATATTGCCCAGTCTTTCGACCTTAAAGCTGTAAACTACATTTCACAATTAAATATAAATTTCATCATTATAAAGCGGCTTAAATGTAAAATGTATTGGACTACTAAAAAAATATTATACCGAGCAAATAAAAAAAATTTTAATTAATTAGATATGGGTTATGATTAAAAACTTTTGGTTTTGATTAATTGGATTATGACTACTCCGGTAGGAATGGGATGGAGGTTAATCCGCACCAAAAGAAAATTAATATGTATAAATATGAATTGTATTTTGATCTAATTAAATTGTATCACAACTTCAAAACAAATTTTTATACATACATACGTATTAATAATAATAAATTGAATTTGAACTACTCCAAAATTGAGGTGAAAGTGTAGATGATATGATTTGATGATCACTGGCCAAATTGCTCTCGTTCCGTAGACCGATATACCCCATTTGCAATACCAAACATCCAAGTTGTAATATGGTGAAGGGTTTAAAGATGGTATCTTCCTGAAGAGGTTGCGCTCTAGATCCCTTCTTAGATTTTAATGTAGATTAGGAAAAATATTACGATTTGCAAAGTATGTATCAAATCAGATATTACATTTGGTCTGTTCCCGTACTGCAAGAATCTACTCGATTTTACTATTTTCTTCGATATCATAAAGGAAAAAAGTGTTATTGGAGTAAAAAAAAGTAGATTCTTGCAGTACGGGAACATACTAATTGTCTTGATATTGGATTCACAAATGTTTAAAATGTTGACATTTGTTAGGAGTGGATCAACGGGTCTCATCATCAAGCTTTATCTCTGTAAGGTAAATATATTACCATGTACATGTAAGTTTGGATGAAATTCGGTATTCCATTCGCTTCATATGAGATAAACAAGTTTTCAAAATGTTGACTCTTTGTGGGGGACATACTAAGTCCCATTTTCCAACATTAAAGAGGCATGGTTAAAATATTATAATAGATTTTCCAAAGATTAGTTAAAATTGGATAGTCCCTTTGCATGATGTTATAAAATGAATTTTCAGCACAGGCACCAGAATGAATGGACCTATGGGTTCCAATCTCTAAATTCAATTCAGTTTGAAAGAAATATTACGATGTACATATTTGGCATCAAAACGGACATCCCATACTATGCTAGGTAAAAATATTACGATGTGTAAAGTTTGGATGAAATTGGATATTCGGTTCGCTCCATATTGGATTTGCAAATTATCAGAATGTTGACCATTTGTGGGCAGGTATAGGTAGATTGTGCATAATTTGGTTCGAATCGGATGCTCTTTTCTATGATATTATAAAATGCATTTTCAGAACAATATTGTCCATTTAGTGGGGAAGGTACTAGAAGGAGTCTAACCGTGATTTTGCCCATCTTCAAAATTAATATGAGTTTGAATGTAATATTACGATGTGCATAATTTGGATCAAATCGGACATTCCACAAATATTTAAAATGTTGACTGAATCGGATGCTCTGTTCGCAAGATATTATAAAATGCATTTTCAGCACAATTTTGACCATAATGTGGGGGAGGGTCCAATTTTCGTACTTGATCTGGGCTTGGTAAATATAATAGGTTGTGCAAAATTAGGTTTAAATCGGGTATTGCGTTCGCAAGATATTATAACATTAATTTTCAGAAAAATGTTGACCACTTTGTGGCGGAGGAACCAGCATGAGTGGACCGATATTCCCCATCTTCTAATTCAAAATAAGTTTGGAAAAAATATTTTGAGGTGCATTAATAAATAAAATGCATTGTAAATCGACTCCATTTCTATTTAGTTTGGAACTTTTTAGAACGGGCTTCTCATCACATTTTGTCCTTCTACTATAATATATAATAATTATATAAATTAATAACATCTATAAGCATCTCTTCTGTAACAGGTTGGCAAGTAGCACCCATCTAGAACATAGTTTTTATTTTTTAACTTTTTACAAGGGATGCTAACATCTCACGATATGTTATTCTTCTTCTAATAGAGTGTATATTCAATTTGCCAAAATGTTTGCAAAAACTCAATAAGAGTAAAATTTTGAAGAAATAACGACAGTACATCTGTCTTTAAAAATCACTACGACTTCCATGTTATATAAAATGGAATATATCGGTTCCCTTTTTGATATATGGTCTGTTCCCGTACTGCAAGAATTTACTAGATTCTACTATTTGCTTCGATAACATAAAGGAAAATTCGTTATCGTAGTAAAAAGTAGTAGATTCTTGCATTACGGGAACAGACCAATAATCTCCATATAAGTTTAAGGTTTCAACAGAATGATCCAACGGAAGAGACATTTGTTTGTTTTTGGGTTTTTGAAAAAAAAAACATATTTGCGGAGCATTTTCATATATGGTCATGTTTTGACATAGCAGTCCGACTCGATGGTGGATACTGTACCGATATTTTTCAAAGGTTTAGCAGTATTATCCAACGAAAGGGACTGTAATTTGTTATTCTGTCCGCCCGTCTGTCTTTTAAAATAACTATTGTGTTCGGAATAATTAAGATATAGATTAAAAAAAAACTTTGCATATATTACTCCTAGGATGTATATTGTTTTGAAAATGGTATATATCGGTTCTTTTTTTTTGGTATAGCCTCCATATTTTTATGCAGCATTCTCGAAAATGTAGTTGTTTTTTTTTATTTGGAGAATGAAAATCATATTTATAGATCATTCCAATATAAGACCGTTTTTGACATAGAATTCCGTGTTATTTGTTCGGATGTTAACAGCAATTTTCTCCGTAATTTCTTAATTTGGGGTTTTGGGACGTGAAACCCTAAATTTTATCCATCATTCATTCCATTCTTAATATAGTTTTACGTTTGGACACATCCCACGTTTAAATTTGAAGCTTCAACAAGTTAATTGAGGATAGATATTAATCGATATTTTGTTGTTGTCTTCTTTTTACAGGATTAATCGAATTAAAAACATTTCTTATATTTTGTTCATAATTGGAGGATAAAATAGCGTTACAAGGAAATAGTCTATTAATCTAAACAGTATAATAAATATATTAATCATGTATTTTCATCTAGCCCGCCAAAATCAGAAATTCTTCAAACAAATTTAAATAATTCGATAACTCCAATTTGACTTTTGCAATTAAAAGTTAATTAATCGATTACTTCCACCATCGACCTAAGTACCCCTTGTCATTGGGACGACAACTAGCGTCACTTATTTTCAAGAAAAGTTTATAGACGTTGACGTTCAGAAAAAGTGATTGTGTTGAGAAATTGTTATTTTTTTAAGACGAAAAAGTGTTAAACGAATTCAAATTTATGATCATTTTTATATTTTGATTTTTTTAAATTGCAACAACAAATAGAAAAGAATTGCATTGCATCCAGATGGCGATTGAAACGAATAAACTTTTGCTGTCGACACAGCAGGAAAAACCAAATCATTATACGTAAATAAAACCAGATTTTTTTCGAAACCAAAAATGTTTTTTTGCATCTTTGTGTACAGTTTTAATAATAATAATTTAATATGTATTCTATTTCATGGTACAATCGCGCGTTCGGATTTGTGAATTATTTCGATATTGTTGTGCAGATATTTAAAGGAATTCCGTGTGGAACAGTGCCAGTCCTTTTTGCAACATAAATGCAATCAGCATCGACCCTTTGTTTGCTTCAATTGGCATTTCCAAAATCAAAGGCGCCGACGACCGATAAGAAAGCGGGACGGCACCTTCAACTATAGTGCCGACAATTATTGCACAAAATATGATGAAACTACGGGCATATGTCCAGATGGTGACGAGTAAGTATTAATCATTGAAAATCAACCCAAAATATGTTTGCAATGGGAAATTGCGTATTATTGTGAAAAAGAGAAGAAATGAAGTCGTAGTCTGGTTGGAAGATGTGTGTGGTGTGTACGTGTTTGTTTGTGTGTGTGTGCCTGTATCTATGCTGCTCTATGTGCAGTTTTTACTTTCAAAATACATCTCCATATTGTTGTTGGTAGAATTCATAAATTCTAATTAAAATTCATTTTTGAATTTGTTGTTTTTGTTAACGAAAAAACCAAATAAAAACATTTGTTGATGTATTGTGTGGCTTTGCCAAATTACTTCGTCTTATTTATCCACCCTATCCCCCCCCTCCATCAACAATCATTCCATTAGTAGTAGTTGGCGTTTTTTCGTCTTCTTCTTCTTCTTTGAATGTGTATTGCTTTCATCATTTACGCATTTATTTTGTTTGTATTGTTTTTTCTTGTTTCCCTTTTGATCTGTTGTGTTGTTTTTTTTCTGTTTCCATTCATTTTTGCCGCTTCTCTCTCCTTTACTCATTCGTAATTGGATTTTTTTTGTCTCTGTTTAATTGTATATGTTTTGCTTATTTCGTTTTAATGTTTTGTTCTTATGGTTTGTTGGTGTGAGTGTGTGTTTGTGTGAATCATAGGGTAGGTAATCGGTTATTCTTCATGCGATATCACAACAAAACCGAGAAGAGTAATGCTGTCGTTGGCGTTTTTTTTTTCGTGTGTGAACATATTGACGTTTTCATTGAGTTATACGTAATGGAGTGTTAACTGTACTACTGGATTTAATTTGGAATCAAATTTCGTTATATGGGGACTGAAAATAATTTCTATCATTTTTCAAGGCGCCTCTTAGTTCTTTATTAAAAAAAATGGAACATGAAGATGGCCAATTCAATTCTTTCCAACTCAAGTAATTTGTCCAATTGGAATTGTTGATTGTAGGCATTTACTATAAATGCATATAGCAACAGTTGTTCAAGCAATGTAAATAAACATAATAGTATAATATCCTCTAACCGAAAAAGAGAAGAAGCTTAAATATTATGAAAAGAGTACCAAAACATACAAATTTCTAATTTAATATATTGTTTCTGCTAATCCTAGGTTTAGCCTTACCTTGGATATAACACAGTTCTTCTATAACGTACTAATTTGGTTCGCTATAACCGTAATTATGAATTAAATAAATAAATAATTCACTGTATTTAGATACAATTTGAAGATGGAGACAATCGGTTCACTTCCGATCTTTTGAAACCGATCCTGGCTTTGTGGCTAGGTTCCCATTCATGAGAAATAAATTGAATTGAATAAATCATATACTGAAGGAGGTAATGTTGTACAAAATAGGATATATTTCAGAATGTTGGAATATTAAGAACATATCTGCCCAACAGCCTGTAAATAGATGTTCGATACTTCCTTCCACTACGCACAAAGAGGATAGCAGGAAATTACAGTATCATTCCATTTGGAAACAAAAGGTCTGATTTTTATATCCTCTACCATAAGGTGGAGTGTATATTACATTTCTCATTTCGTTTGCAACACCGCGAAATATTCACCTGAGCCCCCATAAAATTTAAATTCTAGATAGAGATCGCAATAATGAAGATTAAACTTTGAAATTTTGCACCTACAATGTTATTATTCCTAGGATGTTTGGTATTGAAAATGTGACATATCGGTCCCCATATAAGGGTACCTCACAATATTCGGTACTGTATTGTAATATTTTGAGTTTTCCCTGGGTAGATATTTTGTAGGAACCAAAAATTATCAATGTTGGTTCACTTATTGGGGTAGTCCACATGTAACGGTTAACAAGTTTTCCAACCTAATCAGCTGTAATTTGGCATTTATGGTTTGCACTCCTACCAAAAAATTATCAATATTGGTCCACTCAATATTCGGTATTTAGAAGCTTTTGAATACGTTTTTCAACCAAATTGTCTCCAATTTGATAAGTTGAGTTCTCACTAGGTAGAAAATGTTCATACTAATATTGAACCATTTTTCCATATAACAGAACAACCCCCAAATATTCTCTAACTAATTATTCTCTAACTACCCTAAACAATGAATCCCGAGTAATGTATTGTTGAGTAGGCCCTTGTATCTTTCAGTTATGAAACGTCCCATAGACATATAGCCAAAATTACGGGATGTATGTATTTCGTGAAAAGGGAGAAGTCATAACCAGATCCATATTATCCCGCATGGTGAAGGGTGTTCCTTGACAAGGATTCGATAAAGAATTTGTATACCCGTACAAAACTATGTTGTAAGGGTATTATAACAAAAAATATTAGTCCTAGTATACCGATTGTCATATCTTAACTAGAAAAAAAACTGACCAAAAACTTTAGTTTATCCAGGAAGAGTTGTTGACCTTTAACTTGATACCAATTATAGTGATGTATCTACTCGGATGTGGAGTTATATGTAAATATTTACAGGGATCTACCTATTTTGATATTGTTTAGTATCCCGCTACTTCGTAAGCGAATGTCGGAATTATTTAAAAACCATAATTAAAATGTTAGTACCATTTAGTACCTATATTCTCTTATAGTACGTATTACCAAAATTACCTCCATATCTAAACACTTCACACCAATTCTGACCGCAACAGAAATCTTGCTTTATACATAATTAGGTATCATTTATTAACCTCTTTGTACTTTATTCCCAAAATACCCAAATTTCAAATATAGGTTCACTTATATTTGAAATTTGGTCCAAAATGTATCTATTTTAGTACCAAATTTCTATTACTACCTTCATAATGAAACCCAATGGAAATCTTATTAACTTATTTACGGATTCAAGTTCTATTGGTTCACTCAAAATCATAATTGTACCAAATTTAGTGCCATTTAGTATACATTAGTTGACATTTCTAAAACCTTCTACATACCCCAATCCTACACCCCAACAGTGATTCTTATTTAAAATTTCAAGATTACAGCTTTATCGGTTCACCCAATCCAAATTTGGTAACATTTAGTACACATTAGTAGAAATTTCCAAAACTTTCTTCAGAGCCCAATCCTACATCCCTACAATGATCCTATCTCCAAATTTCTGGATTCCAGATCCATTGGTTCACCCAAAATTTAGATTGTACCAGATTTAGTACACATTAGTAGGAATTTCAAAAATTTCTTACATAGCTCAATTCTACACCCCAACAGTGGTACCAGCTTCAAGTTTCAAAATCCCAGTCCTATCGGTTCACCTAAATCCAAATTTAGTACGAATTTAACAATGGTCCTAACTCCAAATTTCAAGAACCCAGCTCTGTCAGTTCACCCAAAATTCAAATTGTACCAAATTTAGTACAATTAATCACCCATAAGTATGAATTTCCAAAATTACATCGATACCCCAATCCTACACTCCAACAGTAACATTGTTTCCTAATTTCAGGATTCCGGCTCTATTGCATCACCCGAAAACTTCCTACATAGCTCATTTCCGATGCAGTAGTAGTCAATTCCACAATGCAGTAGTAATATTTTTTTTCCCTACATATCGCTATCTTACACTTCGGATCAGGATTCCAGCTCCATCGATTCCTATAAATTCAAATTGTATCAAATTTAGTACCGTTTAGTACACATGAGTAAACGCTTTCAAAACCATCTCCTTATATCCACCCTACTTCTCAACCCTAATGCGCATTCTAAATTTCAAGGTTTTAGCATTCACATGTTACGATATTGTACCAAATTTAGTACATTTTAGTACTTTTCGCATACTTAAAGTTCGAATGTCCAAAACCCCCTTGGTTATATCTATTCTACACTCCATCAGTGAACCTCATTTTAAATTCAAGAGTTCTAGGTTTACCGGTTCGACAAATACAAATGATATTACATTTAGTACTTTTCGTACCATTGGTACCTTTGGACCAAGAGTGACCCTCACCCAAAATTTATCTTATCTTCAGCTGTTTTGTCTGGGCGTTGATGAATCGTTAAGTCAGTCAGTCAATCACTTTACTCTTTTATTAGTATAGATACCATTTCTCAGTTCATATTTTGTATAGGACTCTTTATATTTTTGTCTGTTCAATAGTGTTTTATGTAGAACAACACCTCAGTGTTATTTGAACGGTATATATTATTACATTTGATATTATTATTTTTTTTTTCTTAAAATTCACTCAATTTTTTCTACTCCGTTTCAGTTGTCCATTTTTACATCGCACAGCTGGTGATACCGAGCGACGTTATCATTTGCGTTATTATAAGACATGTATGTGTGTCCACGATACAGATAGTCGTGGTTACTGCGTTAAAAATGGCCATCATTGCGCATTTGCCCATGGTAACCAGGATCAACGGCCACCGGTGTATGATATAAAAGAACTGGAAGCTTTACAAAACGCCGAGTTAACATTGGATGGTGCCAACGCACAGAATGCATTAGACAAGGAACGTAATCTTATGAATGAAGATCCTAAATGGCAGGATACCAATTATGTGTTGGCCAATTATAAAACAGAACCCTGTAAGAGGCCACCACGTTTGTGCCGTCAGGGCTATGCATGTCCACAGTATCATAATAGCAAGGATAAGCGTCGTAGTCCACGCAAAGTTAAATATAGGTGAGTAAGCCATATGCTAATGGAAATAGGAAAACAGATTAAAATAGGTTTTTAATTTTTTATAGATCCACACCATGCCCCAATGTCAAACATGGCGAAGAATGGGGTGAGCCGAGCAACTGTGAGGCTGGAGATAATTGCCAATATTGTCATACTCGCACAGAACAGCAATTTCATCCGGAAATTTACAAGTCAACAAAATGCAACGATGTCCAGCAGGCTGGCTATTGTCCTCGCAGTGTTTTTTGTGCATTTGCACATGTAGAACGTAAGTACACATACTCCACCCGTTCACATTTGTATATTTGTATAATTTAGAAATTGTTTTTTATTCTACAAGAACTCTTTTTTTGTTTACTTTAAACAAAATTGGTGTGCTTTTTTCCACAACCATTTTATTATTGACTACCTACCTATATCCACAAAAAAGTCGTAGTTATTTCTTTTTAAAAAGATTAGAATATTTTTGAAAACAAAAAAAAATCAACTCCCTTAAATATTTTATAAACTCCGTCCATTAAAACTATACCTACAAATGCTTTGTTTCGAAAACACCTACATTCACTACTCTTTCAAAAATGTATTCTTCCTTCCCTGCCACTTTCAAATTTAATCACATACACGTATTTCTTTAATTTCATTATACGAAAAAAAAAAATACATACAAGTATTTATTTAATTGGAAAGCTAATGCATTTTAGAAGAGAAGCAACCGAAATGACTTTTTTCTTTATCGTTTTCTTTTTTTCTTAATTCCTTTATCTGTGTATGTTTCGAAAAAAATCAACTAATTTTTATAAATCATCATCATCATCATGTCAAAAATAACAATTGGTCAAAATCAAAAAATAAATCGTCCACGTGTCCTCCTCTTCCTACAAATCAACAACTCTACCACATTCATCAACGATATGCAAATTTTATTGAAACAAACAAACAATTAAAATAGCCTACATTGTCACTGAGGAGAAGTCCCGCGACATAGATGCAATTACCACAAATTTAGCTTTAAGTGATTTAATATCAAATGCTTTGCCCGATATCAAACCTAAGGATGCAACAAACAACAAAACAGGATTAATGACAATTGGCGAAAATGTATGTATTCCATTCAAATTGAATATATATTATATATCTCTATATAAATATATGCCTTGTATCTATATATTATTAGTAAAACCAAAAAAGCAAAGCTAGAAAACAGAACACAACAAACTTATGTATAGCTGTTACATTATATACATACCTTCTACGCTCTTCCCTATTAGCTTGTTTCAAAACTCTTTCTAATTATATTAAATTTTATTTCAAGATACTATTTCATTTCCTAATTATGTACTTATAATGCTTACAGTACACATCAAATACAAATTTTATATAGACATCTAAATTATGAATATTCATCCAATTTCATTTTTGGCCTTTATAGGGGTTTAAATTCAACTCGTTTTCCTTTTTTTTAGAAGATATGCAAATTTTATTATCCTAAATTCGAGTATACACTATTGACTGTCGTTCTATAATAGTCCTACATGGTCGACCATATGATGCCCTACACAACTACCTCTGAACGTAACGTGTGAGCATTAATAGCAGGGCTAGTTATTCTACTAGTACTCCAGCTAGTTTTCCGTCAAGCAGAACTCCTACCAGTTCCAAAGGTTGTTGTTGTTGTTGTTGTTGTAACAGGTTGGCTGTTGACGAAAGTTCTTTCCTGAAAAATGTGATAGAAGAAAACGGAAGAAGGAAAAGGAAAATATATTAATTAATTAATTAGGAATTCGGATTTGAAGAGGGTAGCCGGAGAAATTGTGCCACCTCTAATGGCTTTAGCCATAAGTCTATGGGCAGTAGACTCGTAGGCTCGGACGGACAATTGAATAAATGGTGTGTGTCGTGAGGGCTTTGCTGGCAGGAGGGACACCTGTTTAGGGTTCCGGGGACAATGCGCTCTCGATACGAGTTGAGTACATTGCTGTATCCGGACCTTAGTTGTGCCAGAATTGAACGGGTTTGCCTAGGGAGAAGCCTCTCACTTTCCGAAATTGCAGGAGGATGTTGTTGTAGGACTTTATTGCATCTGTAGCCATTTATGGCATCGGAGACCGCCAGTTGATGCACGGATTTCATCGCATTCGCTATCGACAATCTGTTGACGTCCGATGGAATGACGTCTTGGATGCCATCACGATAGCGCCTGAAGTCCTGGCGGATGTGTCGCGGAGGTGGATCTGCCATCACAATGTGATGGTTAGGATGACACGGCAGATAGCATGCCAGCAGGAACTGTCTAGTCAACAACACATTATGTTGCTTGACTGACAGCATCCTGGTCTCCTCATGGAGGTGATCGACGCTCGTCATCTGGACACACCCGGTTGCAATTCGGAGTGCATTATTTTGGGAAGTTTGCAATGATCTCCATTGTGTGTCGCTAAGGAAAGAAGTCCAGACTGGGGCAGCATAATTCAGGATGGAACGACCTATAGCCTTATAAGTCGTTACCAGCGTTTCTTTATCCTTGCCCCAGGAGGTGCCAGCCAAAGCTTTCAGAACTTTATTCCTAGCTTTCACCTTCTGGTTGATGTAATTGGAATGCGAGGAGAAATGAAGGAGGCTATCGAAGACCACCCCAAGGATTTTCGGATTATGGACGGTGGGGATGCGCCTACCTTCAACGGAAATGTCAAGTTCTAGATTGACTTCTCGCGTCCAGGAAGTGAAAAGTGACACGGTAGACTTTGCAGTGGATAATTTTAGATTGCGCTCCCGGAAGAAGTTGGTGATGGTGGCTAGATAGCTGGAAATTCTTGCACTTACGTCGTCAATGTTAACGCCGGACGAAATAATCGTACAGTCATCGGCGTACGACACCACTGAAACATCTGGTGGAGGAATGGGGAGTTTCGCAAGATACATGTTGAACAAAATGGGAGAAAGGACACCGCCTTGCGGTACTCCCATTTTGATCTTGCGATATTTGGATTTTTGGCCACGGAACTCAACGAAGGCCTGCCGCCCATTAAGGTAGTTGGCAAGCCAACGTTTGATATCACACGGAAGGGTGGAATTTGTGATATCGGAAATCAGCTCGGAATGATCGACCGTATCAAACGCCTTGGACAGATCTAGAGCTGCCACAATGGTCCGTTCAGGTGGTCGTCGCTGATTGAGGCCATTCGCAATCTTGGAAGTAATTTCTTGCAAAGCCGTTGTTGTGCTATATGATTCCCTGAAACCGTGTTGGTGGGGAGCAAGAACGAAATGCTGTTTCAGGGACGGAAGCAATAGAGACTCTAAAACCTTGGCTACTGGCGACAGCAGAGAAATCGGGCGGTAGGATTCCCCATTAGTAGCGGATTTATCAGGTTTTAGGATTGGAATAATCCGGGCAACTTTCCAAATGTCAGGAATTACCAACTGTGACATCGATAACTCGAGGACTTTGGTCAGATAACCCAGCCCTATTGCCCCAAGCTTCTTTAACATGAACATGGATATGCCGTCTGGACCAAGGGCTTTGGATGGTTTGGATTTGGAGATAATTGCCTCTACCTCGCTGGATGTAAATGATAGTGGCTGCAAGTCTCTTTTAAGATTCTTGGATCTCCGGATAACTGCTCGCTTGGTCCTGTTCTGCGAAGATGGATGCTCAATGAATTGGCGGCAGAACTGCATTGCACATTTTTTGGCATCGGAATGTTGAATGTTATCGAAGGAAATAGCAGGGAGATTTTTATTTCTTTTGGAACCAGATAGACTCTTAATTGTGGACCATAGCTGCTTGGAATTAATGTTGCAGTGGTTAAGGTGTTCTAACCATTTAGAGCGCCTGTGCTCAAGGACTAGAGCATCTATCTCAGCGCTAAGCTGCGGAATTCTGTCGTCAGCGGGGCTTTCGGCACGGAGTTGGTCGCGTTGCTGTGCCAATCTGGATGCCCTGGATGGATAATTTGGTCTCATTAGAGGAATTCTGCCCGCAGGAATAAAGCGTTTTGCCGCTTTTTGAATAATTTCTCGGAAAATCTTCTCACCCTTTCTGGCACATACGGGTGGCGGCATAGGACTTAAGGAGTCCTCAATGAATTTTGTGAAGCCGTGCCAGTTGGCTTTATTATAATTCATGAATGTACGCTGATCGGGCTCTACGAAATCGCTGGGTTTCTCTACCGTGACCAGGATGGGAATATGGTCTGAATTTAAAGCGACCTTGGTTTGCCAGGAAGTATATGGAAGGAGCGATGGACTGACGATGGAAATGTCCGGAGAGCTCGAACACCTGGCAGTGACTCTGGTAGAGGATTCCTCATTGATGGAAGCGAAATCGGACTCGTCTATCTGGTTTGCAATAAGAACACCGCGAGGATCATTTGGAAGTTGAGAATACCATATCTCATGATGAGCGTTGAAATCGCCAAGAACAAGTTTATTATCTCCCTGCAGCAGATGGATGATGCTTGGATGATAACTAGCCCCAATGCTGTTGACGGGCGGAATATATACATTGACAATTTCAATTTCAGCATCGTCGGAATGAACTGAAATGCTCAAAACCTCCAGGAAAGGATCAGACTGGGAAGGAGACGGAGGGGTAGTCAGAGTATATCTGACATCTCGCTGGATGATGAATGCGAGTCCCCCGCCATGGTCTCTATCTCTGTCTCGCCGAATGATATTGTAATTCCCGGAGGAGGATAAGGAACAACTACTGGTCAGCTTCGTCTCTTGCAAGGCAGCAATGAGGATGTTGTTTTCATGCATGAAGTTTGTGATCTCAATTACCTTATTCCTAAGACCATTACAATTAAATTGCATGATTAGGAATGAGGTATTTGGATCACTCCCCTGCATGGACTGCTGCTGTGGAGGCAGGCGGGTGGAGTTATTCGGCGAACGGAAAACCTGCCTGTAACGCTGTTGTCTGGATGGGAAGTTTTGAGCATTCGTTGTTGGAATAGGATGACTAGAAGGAGTGCTAGTCGGAACACTAGAATGAATTCTACTTGATGAATGGCTAGACGGAGTGCTAGCCGTAGAATAGGAAGAGAAGCTAGTAGAATAACTAACTTCACTACCAGTATGAGCACTAGTGGTCGTACTACTGGATGGAGAACTAGACGGAGTGCTAGCCGTAGTACGCGAATCACTAGTAGAATAACTAGTGGAACTACCAGCGTTGGAACTGGTAGGAGTTCTGCTTAAAGGAAAACTAGCCGGGGAGCTAGCAGCAGAACTGGAGGAAGAGCTAACGGAATGACTAGCTCTACCACTAGTACTCACACTAGTAGCAGTACTACTGGATGGAAAACTAGACGGAGTGCTAGCCGTAGTACTGGAAGGACTCCACTGGATTCTAGCGGATATTGCTGGATTGTTAGTGCAGCAATCGGCTACAAAGCCTGGATTCCAATTCCTGTGTGAACGCAGGGTGGTACATCTTCTCATATGGCACCAGTTTCTGCAGCCATTGCACCTTACAGATGTCATATTTCTCCGTATTACTTCCCCGCAAACCGAACAGTACCACTTGGAGTTCTGGGCAGGTTGCTGAGAAGGGATGGAATTTCTCGGGGCTGTTGGAGTTAAGGTGCTAGATGTCGAAGGCTGCAGGCAACAGCTGGCAATGAAGCTGTGTGACCAGTCGCGGTGTGAGGTGAGACCTGAGCACCTCCTCAGGTGACACCAGTTGTTGCAAACATTGCATCGCACAGATGTGGAATTTGCAGCGATGCGTTGATGACACACTGAACAAAACCAGACATCAGGGCCTGGGTTTTGTTCAACGCCGGCACGGATTAAAAGAATGGCGAGCAAAGCTGCCGACATGAATTGCTCACCTGCGGAAAAAACTTTCGTTTTGTACAGCTGTCGCTGGGTTGACAATCCCTGGCCGAGTCGAACTCGGGTCGTTCCGGAGCGTAGATCCGATTGTCGTGGGAACGTGGTTTTTGGTACCCAAGTGTTGCTTTTGCTGTAGTTTGTAGGGAGTGGGCAATTCTTTGCCATTGTGCTTCTATACTATTATCGGGACAAGAAGTGATTTCGTCAAGCAGGTGGGTAAGTTGAGCGGAGTAGGCTTCTGCTATCTGTTGTGTTCACAGCTATTCGACGTCGAGTTTCCGTGTTGTATTAGATCGCACCTTTGCTGCAACATTAATACGAGTGTCAACTTTGGCTGCTTCAAGGTAGTGATCCGC